TGTAATCAGGCATTGTCATAAAACTTTTTCCTGGAAAATTTAAGGAGTTATTATTATGTACGTTTAGGTAATACAACCGTTCGGATACTTATGTCCGCTACTGTAAGTGTCTAAAAAATTATTGTGATATAGCGATCGATTATACTAAATTAGGTATGTCTTACGAAAATGACTGTTGCACAATCCCTATTCATAGACTTGCTGATATTCTAATAATGTGTTCTTACTTATACTGTGCGATCGGTCACAATCTACAAAAAGTACTTTTCGCAGAACGGAAGTATCGATACGCATGGGATTGTCCTTATGAATTGGACTTCACTGTGTACATGTATACTTGACCCAAATACCTTCCTATTTGGTAGTGTTACACGTAACGTCAATAACAATAACTAAAGTCTAACGTCATCATTTATTATGCATCATACGAAATAACAAAGTTACTTATTATATAGCATGAACGTATGTTAACTAGATGGTTATTAACTATGATAATATTTATATTACCGTAAAACCAATTATTAGACTTATTGTCTACGTTGTTAAAATGCCTGCTAGAATTGTCAGGCATATCAGAGGGAATGGAGCTCAGTAGATATTCATTGTGTCCCCAATAAGCACTTAATTGTGTGTTTCAAGACATATTCACAATATGCAATCGAATAAATACGACAATAACTTACGATTGAAAAATACTTAAACTAATGTTTAACATCGAAAGAGGCATATATACATACAATTCAGAGCATATTAAACATGTCTCGGAATAAATAATTTACAACTTTGACTCGGAGCGTTTGTCATCATAAGTGGCAACAAGACTTCTCTTGCTGAATTGATGCTGAGTTATATCAAGACAAAATAAGAGATTAGGATACCGATGCCAATATATTACTCACAGGCAGAGTTTCTCATAAAAAGCATAACTTACCGCAACCATAAACGTCGTGTCTCCACTTTTTTCACGTGATTCCATCGGAATATATGACCTGACAGGTGGGCCTGTGTATGCTTGCCTGGGACGCCAAATTTTAGACTCATTATCCTCTAATGACTCTTTCCAGTGAGCAAGCCATCCAGCAATACGAGGAATGGCTACAAGAAGAGAGAGTTGATTGTTAGTAATCGACTTGCATTCACTAATCGAACCGTTCGTTAATGAGCATACCGAAAAGCACTGGGAACATGTCAGTCGGGAATCCCATAGCCTTATAAATTAGTCCAGAGTAGAAATCAACGTTGGGATATAACTTCCTCTTGACAAAGTAGTCATCAGCCAAAGCCGCTTTCTCTAATTCAATGGCCACGTCAATGAGCGGCTCATTTCCACACACGTCAAACACCTATTAAATATATATAATCTCGGTTTAATTACAAGTTTCAATATTTAAAGTAAATTACACCTTTAATCATATAGGCTTTCTCAACTCGCGCTTATAATACAAACCTCATAAGCAATATTTCTAACAATCTTTGCTCTAGGATCATAGTTCTTGTATATTCTATGTCCAAAACCGAATAGCTTTCTCTTTCTCTGTTTCACTTCTTCCAAAAACTGGGGAACTTTCTCGATCGATCCAATTTCTTCCAACATCCTCAACACCGCTTCATTGGCACCTCCATGAAGAGGGCCATACAAAGCAGCAGCAGCTCCCGCAACTGCACTGTATGGGTCAACAAGAGAAGATCCAATATGACGCATTGCTGCCGTCGAACAGTTTAGCTCATGATCTAGTTAGTTAAACAAGTAATTGTATAAGTAAGCATTTGCGTTGAGCGCATATTAGGTAATACATTAGACACCATGTGCATCACGATCACTTGCCAGCATGAAGAATAAATAGAATGTCAAGCGCCCGTGTTAGTTTAGGGTTGGGTTTATAGTTCTTTTCTGAGAGATGATCGAGCATGTAGAGAAAGTTTTCCGTGTAAGTGAAGCTATTCTGAGGTGGATTGTAAGTCCTGTGAAAGAAAGGAATGGTGGTGAGTAAGTGATGAGCACGTTTTCTGTTTCAAGGTTTATTTTATGACTTGCATCATATCAATTACGCAATAATAGGCTATTTCTTACCGCCCAATCCGGTGCCGATATGCTATGCTGGAACGTAAACAGAAATAAGAGATGAGCAAAAATAATATAGAACCTAAAACCAGTGCCGTGAAATACTCACGCAGCCAGTGTTGGTGTTTTTCCTAACAATCTGAATATTTGCTTGTTCCTCGCTTGCTCGTTTTTAGTGAATATGCTAGACCCCTAATAATGTATACACACGTGGATAATGCGTCAATCTCCTTGTACCTTCTCAATCCCACACGTCCACTCTTCAGATTCATTGACCCATAACATACCACTAAAGCAGGATTAGCATCAGGATGAAAAGTGCTCATTGCAGCAATGCCGGAAATAAACATTCCCATAGGATGCGCATCATAGTTAAAATTCCGCATGAGCTCTGATACATTAAAGTGCACAAATGTATGATGCATAACTTCATGAGAAAAGTTGGTGTATTGGGTCTTTGTCGGAAGTTCGCCATAGATGAGGAGATATGCAACTTCCAAGTATGTAGACTTTTCAGCCAATTGCTCGATTGGATACCCGCTTCATGATCGTAGAAAAAAAAAGTAATCGCAATAGATTGATTAATCCAGTTGTCCTGTTTTTATAAACATACTGTATGTAGCATGGCTTTGAAAATATTACCGATATCTTAGGACTCCGGCATCACCGTTAATGTAGGTGATCTTGGATTGAGCAACCGCCGTGTTCTGATAAGCTAACATAATAACAAACAAATTGACACGTGATAAGGATCAGCATTACATAACAAATAATCGAATAAGGCAAAGAAATAGAAAAAGTACCTGGATCATACACCCTGTCAATAGAATGATCAATTTACAGTGTAAATGGTGAATCATTGTTGGTTCAAATACACTGGTCACTTACTCACCTTAAGCCTTTGCCAGTTTCATCTTCTTCTCTCGAACTACCCATTGTTCCGGTGGCCGTCATCTCCTTGAATTTTACGGCAGGAATAGTGTTGTTTGCAATTGGAACTTCATAAATCTTGTTGGTACGATTATCAAGAACAGTGAGCGACTGGGTGTTCTTGCTATTAAGCAATTTGATGTCGGTGAATGGATGTTAGTTTTGTTAGCTTGCGACCCCAAATTCAATTTCCTCAGAACAATGACTTGGTCAATTGAAATACCTTCGGGGCAACACTACCACTGAAGTAGATTGAGTTGCGTTCGTGCCGTCCGCTATCCTCGGTTTAGGAAAAGCCCACGAGGCCCCGGTAGCATTGTCAATCAGAGTGAGAGTAGAGCTGGATATGATCGAATTAAAAATATATTGATTACATGATATAAGTGTCTCTATCTAACAAAAATCCCTTATTCTTTCAGTTTATTGCAGCAACACTAACTCTTTGACATCGTCTTTCCCCATGGCTGAAGTATGTCAGAGAATGCTTCGTATACTAATATGAGACTTACAGCAGTAGTTGATCAAACGTTTAAATACAATTTGTCGAAGATCAAGATCTGTCACTTTAGCATATGGCATTGGCGAAATAATCTATGCCAGAATTGACCTTGAGTGTGACACGGATTTCATCCGGAACGGATTCACCCGATCATGCATTACTATCATGTTGAACAAGATTTGGAAATCTACCCGTTGTGACATGATTATCGATAAACATGTGTCACGCACATCGTACACCCCCCTACCGTACTTTTAGTGATCGACATTACATAATAATAATGAATCTTGGTATTATTATAGTAACGTGTTTCGGGCCAGGAAGTTCTGTTTACCGGAACAAATGCCAAATCTTTTTCGCAAAATAACAAACAATTTCTATATCGCAAATTTCATTATATTTACCTGCAAACAAGGGCCGTCTCAGCCCGCAAAACATTTGTGCTTATTTCGTTTGTTTAACTGAGCAACCTCTATAATAGTATACTATCTCTGTAAACGATGACGCATCATGACGTAACAATTAGTATATGTGCCAATAATTTAACCGAAACTCTTTTGTAATATAATATGTATCAAAGTATAAACATACAGCACTCACTCTTTTATTCGAATACGAAAGAATGACACTGTTTGTTACCCAAGCTTGGTTCGAAAAAATGAGTAATCTTGACTAAAACCTCGACAATGCATTCTTTTCTTTCTGCTTCTTGGGCAGTGACATTTCGTGTCTGTCGGAATACGGTTCCGATATTATTATATGCCCAAATTACCGGATACAATCTTCTGACTTACCGTTTAAAAGAATAACATATCAAGACCTAAAGAAATATATATTGTCTTTTAAAAAGTTCTAAAAGACGTTTGTTGGTTTCGGTGACAAACTGCATTAGCATTTAAGATTCAGCTATTTCCTACAAGAATAGGCAGAGTTTGATTCATCGTGATGGACATGCAATTGTCACGAAACCAACTTCTACAGTTTGAATGTTTTTGAAATGTTGAGGGTTGCGTGCCGTTTCGTCTAGTAATAAAAAACAGCAGTATTAGGAGAGGCCCTTGTTATTGTTTACATGCTTCAAGCAAACAATCTAGTTGTTATTGTGTATATTATCCCTAATTCTGTTACAACAGCCGGACGCGGAAAAAATGGGTTTATTATCTGATCAAAAGCCGACTATAATGAGCCTTACGTATATTCAATTAAATTATAATTCTCAGAATTTTGTTACCTCTGTAAACTCGTATTTTATGGAATCTGACGCATCAACGGTACAGTGATAGTAATTTACTTTCAATGTTTGATGCTTCAATATACTGCATTTGCTCAATTTATTTGTAATAAACAAAGCGATAGCTGTTGTAAACTTTATTTATTTTTTACAGAAGAAGAATATGTACTGTATATGCAGGATATGTTATTAATTAACCTTTACCACAAAGTCTGTTTATTCTTATTATTTTTAGCCAGACTTTCTAGTATTGCTAATGCGCACTTATAAAATAAAACAGTCTTTCTGGATACAAAATATAAATCTTTTCCCTTTTCTCTGTGTTGGCTGATTTGTCATGGCAGTAAATATTATTTTTAAATTACACCACAACTAAGAATTTATGAATTTAAAGTTCCGCATCTTCTACAAAATTACGACTTGAAATTTGACTTCAACGTTGCCAATTCTACTTATTTCCATATTAATATGATTCGATAGGTCGAGAACAAATTTTAGTAATACAAACAATAAAGCTGGCGTCCCTTTTGTTCAACACACTTTTGACTATTAAGGTATATATTTTCTGTTGATTAGTGCTACATTTTAGTTCCATATGCAGCAAACAGTGTTGTATTGTGTTGTCTAACTTCATCCTTCTAATTCTCTTTCCCGATGAAACTAAGGATTGCTGATTTAATTCTTTGGAACTTTTTCATTCGCTATTGACTTTTCTTGTATCAATTTTGTGGATACGATAATAATAACGACTTTTTATTATTATACTGCTGAGCATCAATTAATATTTTTATCGACTAAACCTTTTTTTACGCCTTTCTCTCCTTAATATTAAGAGCCCACGCCATTATCTTGTCAGAGTTTCATTGTCAAAACTAAACGGTCCTGTTAGTATCTAGCTCTACTAACCTGTTGAGGAACTTGTTAGGGGTTGTATGCCACGGATCATTAGATAAACTTATTCATTTCTCTTTCCTGTTATAACATCTTTAGAAATATTCTGTTTAAACCAATTTTTATATGTTTAGCGCATTCTTACATTGTCCTAATAATATAGTACCATTGTTGTTACTATTTGCTATAGCTTTCTTGTCTTAATATTAATCCTATAGAATTATCACAGTCATACAGAGAACAATATTGTTATACAGATATACTTATAAGGTAATCTGACAATTATTGTCAAAATTTATAAAAACAAAGACAAAAACAAGACGATATCACCATGAATTCATATTATCTGGCATCTTAAATGAAGTTTATCTTAAAAAAAATAATAATGGCATATCGATATAGCATATAACAAAAAAGCGATCGTTGTTCCTGATAATCACGGAAAGTACCAATCATATTATGCGTAACACGAGTAGTCTTTAATGTTCTATGGAATCACGTGAAGACATTGACTTAATCCGCGTATGGAAGACTGTGTACTAGTACTTTGCGGCTCTCTTCCTCTGTCCCCAAATAATAAAATAAAGAACCGCTTTTTTACATTATCCAACGCACGGCCAAACAAAAGTCTCATAATGGCGTTAACACAGTCACTCGTCGACGATATAAGCAGACTATATGGACACTGGGAGGATTCTGATGTCGAGTTGGTCATAGGAGAAGAACCTGAAAAAGAAACCTTTCACGCTCATTCGATAATCTTACGCGCGCGCTCACCTTACTTCCGCGCTGCATTCTCTTCTACATGGGAAATAAAAGACAATGGCAAGCATGTATTTAGTAAGCCGAATATCAAACCAAACACGTTTCGTGAGATACTCAAGTAAGTCTATTAAATGGTTTATAATCGATCAGATGACGTGGCCTTTAACATAATAACAAATATATAGTATATGACTGTACTTGTATCATATCGTATTGTATCGTATCGTCGATAAGCGTGGTATTAATGCTATTGTTTATCATTCCACACACTGTCCTATCATAACAAATTCGACCACTGCACACGCTTATACCCGTCTATAGATATATCTATACTGCGGAGGTAACATTAGACCCAAACGACAACTCGGAAGTACTAGACTTGTTTATCGCTGCCGACGAATTGGCTCTGAGCGTCCTCTTTAACAATATACAAGATTATATAATGACAAATCGCGACGAATGGGTACAGGAAAATCTTGCCAAACTGTTGAGGACAACTTCCCGTCTCGACTCATCCTCACAGAAACTATTCGAGCATTGCCAACGAGTCATATCTCGTTCACCCGAACTCATCTTTCAAACAGACGACTTTTGTACTCTCGAACCAGAAGTGTTGTTGTCCTTGATTAAGAGAAACGATTTGGCTATGAATGAAATCAATATCTGGGAACATGTCATCAAGTGGGGAAGGTCTCAGCCTCCGGCCCTAGATCCAGACGTAACCAAATGGTCCTCAGAAGACTTTAAGACACTCGAAGAAAGAATACGTGATTTTATTCCTCACATCCGATTCTTTGAAATTTCTGGTGCCGACTATCACTACAAAGTACGACCCTACAAAAAGATCTTGCCACGAGATCTCAAAGACGACATCAAGCTACATCACTTTGCCGGTCAACCACCGCTCAAGACGCCATTGCTACCAAGTCGAGTACCAGCTAAAACAGTTGACTCTATTCTCATCGACAGCAATCAAATAGCCCTGATTGCCAGCTGGGTGGATCGTAAGGATACAAAAGATTTTCAGTATGCATTTCGCACTATCCCATATCATTTTGATCTTCTTCTTCGTGGATCCCGTGATGGAATGCAGATTCAAAATTTCAGAGAAAAGTGCAACGAAAAGAGCAACCTTGTCGTTGTTATCAAAACTAGCAACGGTCAACTGATCGGCGGATACAATCCTTTGCACTGGAGTTCGTCTAATGCCTATCACGAGACAAACAGCAGTTTTATATTCTCACTCGGTGACGGGGCAGGATCTGGAAAAGTAATACTGAGCAGAGTCGCAGATCATACATGCGCTATTTGTGATCCGTCGTCTAAATTTCTCAATGTTGGGTTTGGTTGCGGTGATTTATTGATATTTCAAGGAAAGTGTCGCAGGAATTCATATGCTAGGGAGATTATAAAGGACAGTGAGTGTTTTACACTTGAGGACTATGAGGTTTTTCAAGTCAAAAAAGATAGGAGAGAAAATTGTTTAGGTGTTTGAGATGTTAGGTGTTAGCCTCAAGTGTTTATAGATAGAATTTTAACATTCGCGGGCTTTTGACGGCCCATCTTAATTTTGTAAACTTTCTACATCGTTATTAAGTAGTCTTTATAATTTCTTGTCATATAAATTATAACGCCACTGCATCTAGCCTGTGCACGTGCGAATTGCAATAACCAAACCACGTGTGAATATTACCCAATCATACAACGAAATAAATGGGTTACTTAATACGAGTTCTGCTCTATAATCCGCAGTCTTGATCACTCAGAAATGCTTCGCAGTTTGTTTGGAGGTGCCATATCTACTTACATTCCACCAAATTTTATAGATGTCAGGTATATGGTGAATAAATCTTGTCTCGTAACCGTTAGTTCAATTCCATCCGTGCTCATTTCCGAATTGCAATCAGCGACATTCGTCAAGTGCCTGACAACCAAGAAGTATACGCAGATGTCGATACAGATCAAAGTATTGTCGTCGAAATTTTACAACTTGCTCAAGAGGCATCAGATGACGACGCTGCAAAGTACGTACAAAACTGTATTGCAAATGGCTCGATATCAGTCATAATTATATAACGTCTCATATTCGTTTTTATTAGATTCCATTTTGACTCGCTTGCTCATGATAATGATGCTGAAGGCTACAGCACAATGCATCAAACAATTCCGCTAACTCCATCTGATGTTCCAGGCTTATTGTAAGTAACTTTTCTAGCCTTCTTAATATGAGGGGGTGGGTATGTCCAATTAATCATGAAACTAACAATCAACACAACTCTTAGGCCAACTGCGAGAATGTCTTTTCTAACGGGACAGCAACAAGTCGCAAAGTTTCGCGAAAATGAACCAGAAGCACGAAATCTGGTCAACATCTTTCTTGCAGTTTTTAGACTGCACGAATACGAAACCGATATTGTTATAACTCACAACATTCCTATACTTATCGGAGCTCATAGTAGTAGTAGAGAGACATCACAAGAAGGGAATTTGCGTGATGGGATTGATGAGTTTAAGAGAATTGTGACGTCATTTGTTATCAATGATTGGGGTTTGTTTGGGTAATAGTAATAGTAATTTATTAAATTGTTCGGCGTTAATACGATATGTGTAGATTAGTTTACAAGTCCCTGCATTAACGTAATAAAAAATCTGCACGTCACACACAAAATTCCCATCCTCTCTCTGTGTAAAAATGATTCACAAAAATTCGCGTTCAAACAAACCTACATTGACGATAGTCATCAAGCTGGGAACGTCATCGATATGCGATGTGGAGACTCACCTGCCACTTTTGTCTAATCTCTCTCTCATGGTGGAAACGGTGGTGAAACTACGTTCAGCTGGACATAGAGTGGTTTTGGTAACTAGCGGTGCGATAGGCGTTGGATTGAGACGGCTAAACATGCCAAAGAAGCCCAGGAGATTGGCAGCTATTCAGGTACTTGGTGAGGCCTATTTGTACACTGGAGCTTTTCTATTTTCATATCATAAGATTTTTATATCTATCGGTAGGCTGTCGCTGCTGTTGGACAAGGACGTCTTATGAGAATGTATGATGATCTTTTCAATCAGTTAAATCAACCAATTGCTCAAATTTTACTCACAAAAAACGATATTGCTGATGTAAAGTAAACGAGGCAACACTTTATCGGTTTTATTTCATTCGATTTCATTCTTATTTTTCCTTGTATAGAAACATCAGTAATCATTATTTGTTAAACATTCGACACACAAATAGAGAACACAATATCTTAATGCTGTAAACACGTTCACTGAACTGCTTACAATGGGTGTCGTCCCTGTAGTTAACGAGAACGATACAGTATCAGTCAGTGTAAGTATAATGCTTGTTGCGATCGATATGCCAAGTTTTTTTTATTCACCGTCATTTCTTGTATGAAGGAAATCCGATTTGGAGATAATGATACACTATCAGCCATAACAGCAGGAATGGTAAATGCAGACTATTTGTTCTTGATGACAGATGTCGATTGTCTTTATACTGATAACCCGCGTAACAATCCTGACGCCACTCCTGTCGAGATTGTTGAAGATATTGGTGCACTCAGAGAAAAGGGTAATTGTCAAATCCGTTCAACTTTTTATTTCGATGCATCACGAAAATTTGTTAACACCTCGCTTATTGTAGTAATGGTTTCTACACCCGGGAGCTCGTTGGGCACAGGTGGCATGACTACAAAGCTCATAGCAGCTGATCTAGCCACAGCTGCGGGAGTTATTACAATCATTAGCAAAGGATCAAATCCAAAAAACATCATTACCATACTCGAACAACTGACAATAGACCCAATGGCCACTGCATCCTCTAACCCGTCCATGCCTCTACATACACGATTTATGAAAAAATCCAATGCTACCGTGGATCGTAAATGGTGGATTCTTCATGGACTACATACAGCCGGCACCGTGTTTATTGATGAAGGTGCTGCGCGTGCAGTGACTAATGCTAAACAAAAGAACAGTTTGTTTGCAGCTGGGATTACAAAAGTTGATGGCAATTTCGTTGCCAATCAGGCTGTCAGTATAGCATGTCAACAGGATAACGAAATTGTCCAAGTCGGGAAGGGTTTGGTTAATTATTCGTCAAGTGAGATTGGTAGAATCAAAGGAGTACAGAGTTCCGAAATCGTCGAGATTTTGGGATATGCTGATTCGGAATGTGTTGTGCATAGGGATAATTTGGCTATTATAAGAGTAGAAAAGACAAACTAATGTGATAAGCTGTCTCGCTAGCAAATGTATAGTAACCTTTAAATAAGATAAATATTACTAGTATTCGCGAAAGCCAACATACTATAATTGACATATGACGCACACGGAAAATCTCCGTGTGATACTACCGAGTTTGTATACGATAATCTAACCCTTTCAGGATGACGCCACAGAAATGTTATTTCATGATCTATAATCTATATTACTTTCCATCAATTATTCCCTGTAAATAGCATTACAACATGTTCATCCGAACAGTGCTTGCGGTCAACTCCCCTCTTCTCTTTTTTCTTCTCACATTCCTTCTCCATTTCACGCAAACATTAAGCTCACAAATTCCGTTAGAAACTGCGGTAAAAAATAAAACATTCAAACTTAAACATGTAATTCATAAAGGCAAAACGCTTTATCCCAACATGGTTCGTAGGAAAGATTATGATGAAGCAGCTCTCCGCGCTCAGGAAGAATCCACAGGCGTTAGCTTTACACATAGTCTGAGAGCAGTGAATGGAATTGTAACAAAGCCTGTATCAAAACAAGATAGGAGTGTGACGGTGAAAACTGTAGGGCTTTTGCCGGATGTTAGAGATAGGGATACATTGGTCAGTTTAGGAAAGATGACTTATAATGCGTATTTAGAAGTTGGAGGCGAGGGATGGTACGACTTGGGAGAGAGATACGATTTGGTAAGTGACTAGTATTCTGTGCCTGTCATTGAACGATCGATTTACTGCGCAAACAAAAAAACAGACTTGTTCATAAATTTCTCAAGCATCAATTGTTGTATACTGTTCTTTACATTTCTGATTGATGCATTCTCTTCTATCAACTAGAACAAATCTTACGGGTGGGATTCTGATGGCCTCAGAGGACACGTGTTTTTAGACAATGACGAGGAAGTATTAATCATAGCAATCAAAGGCACGAGTATGGGTTTCCTCGGAGGCGGAGGTCCGACCGTGCCTAGAGACAAGCAAAACGTAAGTATGTTATGCGAAGTAACAAGTCGTATACCCTACTTGACTCGTTCGTATTCTCATCCTCTTTGCTCCAGGATAACCGTCTCTTCTCATGTTGCTGCGCAAGAGTCGGACCATCGTGGCGTACTGTGTGCGACTGCTTTATCGAGGATGGTTCCTGCAATCAGACATGTCTAGAAGATAGCGTCGATGAAGAAAGGTTATATATTGACGAGGCTGCAGTAAGTAGTATTAAAATATATCACGTGAACATACACTTCTTCTTCCACGAGGCACTCAATTTACCGACGGATGGCACTTTTTTGTATCATAGATTTTATTTGAAGAGCTCTCGGCGCTATACCCTGGAGTCCATGTATGGCTTACTGGCCATTCTCTCGGCGGTTCATTGGCAGGACTAGTCGGGTTGACGTACTATTATCCGGTTGTCGCGTTCGAGGCACCACCAGAAAGGCTTGCCGCGTCTCGTCTCCATCTTCCAAAACCGCCTGCTTATCCATACGAGGAGATGAATATCTGGCATGTGGGACATTCGGCCGATTCCCTATATCAAGGAGCATGTAATGTAAGCATTCAAAAGGATGTAAAATAGGATATGGGATTGCTTGCGAGCTACCAAAAGTATCGGAGCGATTTTTTGATAATATTATTTTTACAAATCATAGGGTGTGGGAAGTAGCTGTTGGATAGCCGGATATGCGGTAAGTATGATTTATAGTATCGATTCATAATTTGCCACATAAAGCACGACCGACTTAACCTCTATCGTATTTTTTCAAGATGGAAACTCATTGTCACTCGGGAATGTCAATCATATACGACACAGTTGCAAAATACTCTTGGTCAGTAGGCGTACGATATCATCGCATAAAGGACGTTATTGAACGAGTACTTGAAGCATGGGATGAGCCCGTCCCCGAGCCTGCTGTCGAAGAAGACTGCGTGGATTGCGGTTGGTGGGACTTTTTGGACGATAACGAGGAACCAGGAAGTAAATCAATGTGCAAGCGTAAATAAACACCATAATGAATGCTTCCCATCATGATATCAGTTGATTTGACCATGTGCACTTGCTGCTTATATTATATTGAACATTTTTGCTTGAAATGACTTGTTTGATTATTGTACATCTATGATTAAGGGCACTTGATATAATACCATACCATCTATCAATAAACTAACTACAATTGTCATTATCGGGGGGAAAAATGATGAAACTGGGCACTTGAATTATTCTGTCAACTCACCAATTCGGCCCTGACATAAGACTCTATCTTATAAACTATTTATTACCATTCTATTGATGCATCTCTAAATTGTTTCTTCCGAGCCACCTTGATAGCCATATAATACGCCCGAGCGTATTGTCTCTCGGCTCCGTTCTTGACATGCCATCCTAGTCTCATTGCGTTCTTGATTAGACTTCGAACAAATGATTCATGTGCATTGCGATTCTTCTTTAATTTCCGATTATCTTGTATTGCGGTCTTTAACGCTTTCACCATTCCATCCGTAGCCGCTTCGACGTCTTCACCCGATAGATTAAACACATACGAATTATAGCTGGTGTTATTGGATGGTGATCTCGTCTTATCGACCAAAAATTCCTTCATTCCGCCAACTCCGCTCGTGACTACAGGACATCCGAATAACAACCCTTCGACTGCCACCAAGCCAAAGCTCTCAGTTAGACTAGGAACAAATACAATATCGGCAGCCGCCCTGTATATCGTGCCGTAAGCGCTCTGCTGTTCGTTGTCATCTATTACCGTTACGTGATCGGGGTGCTTTAGTTTGATTGCCGTTAAAATATTTCGAGAATATCCGCTATTCTGACCCATTATTATAAGTTTTGCATTCAATTTACTTATTATGTCAGCTGCCGCTGGGAAGAATTCTATTCCTTTGTTATTTTGGAACCTGCCTACAAATAATACTATTGGCCTATTCAGATCAGCACCGCTGAGGAGATTATGTTTGATTAAAAACTTTTTTGCGGCCTTCTTTGCTGTTATTATGCGTTGATTATTAGGGATATCTTCAATACTTTTTGCCGTAATTATATTTTTAGGATAAATGGTTTTACTAGTAAACAATGTGCGATCAGCGAATGGGTTAAAATTGCTCAGATCCACACCATTTGTGATGCCAACGAAATAACCGTCGCGAGCTTTCGCTCGAATGCTTGGCATTACCAGCTCTTTGTAACGGAAATCTAGCTGTCCTTCTACTAACTGCTTGGCCATATGACGCGATACAAAAGTGGAAACGTGAGAATTGTCTATACCCAATGCGGAAGGATATACTCGATAGCCATACAAATATTTATCAACCAGGCGTTCAGTGACATCCTCAGTATCCATGAATCGGTTTATATTCTTCAGCTCGTTTGAATATTCCAACTCGTCCAAATAATCGTGCAATGTATATACGATTGTTGGTGCACCACGACTAAACCCACCATTCTTCTCTATGATATTCATGAATTCTATAGTCAACGCGTTGGTTGCTCCATGTACGTGAACCAAATCAACCGCATGATCCCCTGCTTCAGCGTTCTGAAAGAGCGGAGTATCCGAGGTCGCAGACTGGTACGCAATAAAGTCGGCTGCTGCCTTGCAGAAATAAAGATCTTTCCATTCTTGCGGCAATCCTGGAGGACTAGCGTAAATGTCTGTTATTTTATCGACTTGAAATGCTCGATCGAATGGATATGTTGTCGATGGACCGATTAGATAAACCGTAAGCATTTGTCTTGCTGTAGGCTGTTTTGGGAACGATATCTTGGTACCGGTTACGTTTAATTGTAGTCTATGGACAGTATAGGGAATAGGGATCGATTGCCCGTGCCAGCCTTTATATGTTATTTCGCCGTTCGACCATTGTTCCAGACGTTTCTTGTATTTCAAGTTTAGATATAGGTAATGCGGCATCACGATGTTAACCTTGAGACCAGCATTGGCTTGAGCATGCGATAAGCCAGTTACTATTTGACCAAGACCGCCCATGGCAGCAGCGTCGTATTCTTTAGTTACGTGATATATTGAAACGCCTTCCAATTTGTTTGATGGGATGCGTTGGTTCAGGCCGCGATACTTTAATGGCTCGTAATGTTGCATCACTTGGTGTGTTTTATAATTGGAAAAGGGCAAAAACATGGAGATTAGCGAATATATGAGAAGAAAATATAATCAAAAAGTATATCTCATATACTCTTAGGAATTCGCGCCAATCACCATTAGATTAAACTTACCTAGCTTTACTGGAAGCTCTTCCATCCACAATATACTTAGAGTCACAAATACCATTAACGCTTCTATTATTAGGAACGTAACAAACAGTCCTCCCAACGAAGTAAATAGCCCGCATCTCCTCTTATCAAATATGGTATATAACAGAATACATTTGAAACTTTTTCGTATAGGACTAAATGTACGCAAAACTGATCTGTTCTTTGAACCCATGAATAGAAATGTTTTAGTTGGTTGCAACACTTTTGGTTGAAACCATTCAATGCCTACGGCAGTCGAGTCATCCGAAGATTGGATGACCACTCTGAGTGACCTTGAACGCATAATATATAACAGCGTGCAGGGGGCGTAGCAACGAGCAAAATCTAGTTTGAGTTCCCAACCAATGAAAAGTTGCGCGGACCAAAATGTTGCTCAGTTCCATGTTTCGGAGAGAGAAACCCTCTTTTTTACAATAAGCTATTAATAGATTAATTTATAATTGAAAGATCAACAAAGTTCTTCCATTCTATTCGACTTATTAGTACTAAACTAGGGACTGAGCATGGGCATCTTTATATTTAGCACAATTATGCATAGCTCGACTATAAAGTCGTTGCCTCTATGCAAATCAGGATTCACTGTTGTGGAGCAGTTCATCGCCTGTACAGCCCAAATGCTTTTAAGTAAACAGGAACGTTCCCAACAGCCATGCTAATAGCTACGATCATAACGAGTCATGCCTAGCACAAGACCTACCCTATTATTACGATTGTTTTATAATTACTGCACACAACACACATGGTATTTAAAATTTACACGAGACTCCAGATTATTGGATTCTCGAATAGTTATAATTAGCAAACCCGAGTGTGACGACATATCTAATATGCGTATTAGTATAGCAAACATACTATATGCTTATTATATTCAAACTCTAAGTGATAAATAGAACTTAACCAAAAATATGACATAAGTTAGAGCATCGATCAAGATCAAGCAAAGCAGAACAGGGGGGTGTTTTTCATTTGCAAGTTTATATTCATTTACTTACTAAGAAGCCAGTTATTCGCTGACTAATGCATTGGTTTTCTTCGAGATGGCTTCAAAGCTTTAAAATAATCAATGATAATTGTACTTACCGAATAATTAGATTCTATATTTGGGTAAGCGAGTTTTCATACATAATTGTGCGCTTTTATAAATATGACTAATTCAAAGATAAACAATTAAGATGACAAACATTTATCTTTGCAACGCTGAGAATATTCTCAAATGACATAAACTCAAAGTCATGCAAAAACTCCCCGCTTATTATTACAATCAGGGAAACGGTCAAAGTTTATTGATTATATATAATATAATAAATATCACTTCGACAACTGTAAAACGAGGAAAGCCCGTCGCGGATCAATATCTATACTACGTATATAATACCATCCGTCAGTGCCAGAGAAGTAAGTTTTTTATCTACAGTTTTTGAAGTTGTTTAATGGCAGTCAATATAGGAGGTTTACTGTAATTGGCACCTACAACGCTATTTATTTACGCGCGGATCTTGCTGCTAATGGAATGTAACACAACAGCATCTAAGCCACAAACATCAAACTCCGATGTAACTTAGCAAAAACATGTCTTGAAATAGTTGCTCGACCTGTTCGAGGCAGACTTCAATAATTAACTAGTGAGCTGACCAGCGTCTGATCGCATGCATGCACAAAACGGTCAGCCAAACTTATTCTATGCTACGGAGCTGTGGTTCACTCGCCATTATATTACACTGCGTAGGTGAGGCTCTAAAAAAATGTGGGATACTGTCGAAGTGGCCATTAATACAAAAACACAAAAGAAAAGAAGAATCCTTACCACGCTACATTACGCGAAAAGGATCGCAATTGCCATAGCGCTGTTGCTTTCACGACTGGAAGTAGAATTCGAACAATTTAGATATTCCCTTGTCAATGCAAGGAAGGCAGGGACATGAACAATTACAATGTAATCTTGGCTTTGCTATGCAACCATATTATTAACAATCTCTCATTGGGAGTTTTCACACAAATGATTGTGCTTTCAATTTCTAATAAAAATTAAGCAAATCAAACAATACTGAAAGATAGAGATTACCAGACTGAATAATAGTCTGAACTAAAGGCTACGCTTACAAAGACGGGAAACTATATTTTTACCGTGTTGGGCACACCAATCTGTGCATCGGTGGCATCATTACTCTTTCGTCTGATGAGACATTGTCACAGATATAGCAATTTGCGACTGATCTATATCTCTCTTTCTTTCTATAATATCTTTATTATCTGACATAGGATATTGTCTCTTGATACAATAGCTAGATTCAGAAGCACACTAGTTGTATTTGTTTTTATTTTGAAATTTGACCTGATTTCACCAAGATGTTAACAATATATAACCTAAATAAACGAATTATATAATATCGAAAATGTGTCAACGATACTGACCGAATTATTCTGATCGCTACCAAACACTGGACACAATTTCTTTCAAAAACTGATATACAGCATGTTGTTTGATAAATAGGCAATTCAGTATGAGTATACCGAACTCTGGTGCATGGATCTTACGATCCGATTTATTTATGCTTAATAAATTATGTTAATCTGTTCATGCATGTACAACATTCTGCACGTTTTTGCTTGATTATGCAATGTCGAAAATAGCAGAAACGATGGCAAAGAAGAACAAACCGCCAAACAAATAATACGTAACATAGCGATTATTGGGATCGTAATGTCTAGCCAAAGGTATCATACTATGCAAAACAATATACAACAACGAGCCTGTCACAATAGCAAACATGGTTGCGCTAACGGCTTCATTCCAATAAGTGACGAAAAGAACGTAACCAAGAATCGCACCAAGGAATTGGGAAATAACTCCAACTGACGCTGCAATCAAAAAGGCTTTCCATCGAGATCCGGTTGCAAAGTAAATTGGCAGAGCAATTATTAGGCCTTCGGGGAGTTTGCTAGAACAAAGATATGAATAAATCAAGATCATTCCTGAATATATTTACATATATGTAATATATGATCGATGGCTTACTGTAGAGCAAGGGCAATAGCAAATATAACGCCAATTTTCGCCGATGCAATGGTAGTCGTAAAGGAGGCAAGTCCTTCCGGGAAATTACTATTCGGCAACCATAAAATATTGAAGACATTAAAACTTGTTTTGATCTGTACCTCACCCGCATTCGTTTTTTATAAATTGAACAACGCATACTTACTGAAGAGCCAAAGCAGCAGCAACCTGAAGGCCTACTTTCAACATCTTGTGATGATCAATATTTTCGACTATCTTTTCGTCTGCCTTTTCAATATCGCTTTTATATTCTTCATTTGCATCGGGAACTCGTCTACGCTTATACTTGCGAAAAAGAGCTTTGCCGATAAAGATACAAAGAACAGTTCCAATATAAACGGCAGCAGCAACGAAACTGCCAAACTTTTTGTTAAATTTCCCAGAATTTTGATATCCGCTGATGGCTTCCGGATACAGATCGGTAAGTACTAAAGCTAACAAAACACCACTAGCGAATGCGAATGATCCGGCAAGGAAGCCTTTACTCTTAGTAATACGGAAATCAGCCATAAAAGGAAGGAGTGGAAACAATGAATCAAGGAACGGAGTGAGCGACCCAAGAGCGGAGGCCGCTGCAGCCAAAGCGGTGAGACCGAATCCGAGACGAATGTTTCCCTCTGCCAATGTGCCATGTTTCTCACTAGGAAAGACAGAGGGTACGTTTTGGGTATTACCGGTATCGCCGTCATTTATTGCACCATGAGCTTCAGATAAAGCGACAAGGAGACTCAAAAGAAGAGTCAATCTTAAAAGAGAACCAAACATAGTTTCGTGCGATTTGGAACGAATAGTTCAAGCGGTGAAGATGTAAGCGTCCACACTAAGTATCCTTTATTTTGACAACCGAGGGTTGAGACATAAATTGTTGAAGATAATCAAAAAACGGAATCTTCTCTATATACGGTCTCCTGAGTGTTACGTTGTACTTTGTAGAAATCATTTTGCCGGATGTTTGCCTAACATCGCACGAACTAGTAAATGATATTTTAATTTGTATCATTGTGAAATTCATTTTTTTGATTATGTGGACATTGAAGCCATACTATAATAATAACAACATTAGGCCGCCTGTTTCTTGCATCTAGCGACATGTATACCGGACTGTTATTCAAGGATTGGTTTATCATCGCATTCAAAACCACAGCTCATGTTCTGCATATTTTTGCTTACATGTATTACAGAAATAAAGTTATGATTAAGTTACGTCGATCTTTGCATTGGCCTACCTGCATGTTGAAATATGATATATGAAAGGAACTACAACATATCTGCCTGCTCAATGGCCTTTGCGGGGTGCATTTTTTGGTGGTTCAGTTTGCAGTCAGACGTCAGAATATAATAATAAAGTCTAGAGCAAACGTTCAAAGTCATCAAATTTACGATGCATTTACCTCACGTGAACTCAGATGTTTCAAGAATACGTATTTTGTTCTACTGATCGAACCAGTAATCGTGTTACATTGATTACATATTCTATATTAATATTAATATTAATATGGCTTATCACTTTAAAATTCAATCAGTTACCTGAAGATTATGAACAAGCTTTCCCTGCCTTGAAATCCACTCCTGGTGTCCAAACACACATATAACGTCTCACGTTAGGTGTATAAAGTATGTACAATACAAGTCGTATATCAACAAACCTCATGTTACCGTATATAAATACAATTATTAGGCAAGACATTATTCAAAGCGAGTAATTTTTCTTTAACTACATGTTTAAACTAATATTAATTAATATGCCAGTATTTGATGATCGGGCGTTTTACTGAGCCAGCTAAATAAGGCAACTCAATTTGGAATACAAACATGCGCCTGTATGAAGACCGTTTCAGGCAAGTTGATTTTTTCACTGCCATGTGACATTTCTGATAACAATGGAATACCATTTATCAAACAAATTATCTTACCTGTTGCCGTATGTGATTATCTTTTATTTATACTCACTTATTAAACTTTTATCCCTGTTCCATTTAAATTACAATATGCTTATATTAATATGTATGCCAAGCCTTAGATAAAAAAAATTGATATACAGAATGAACCTAAATTAGTGCTGATGGATGGGCGGTGATGTGATCTGCGGTAGTTCTATTATCCATGACAACATGCTAAATAATGACCACATATATGTTGGTGTATCAATTTGTATTGGCGTTAAGCAAATTCCATAAAGTTTAATCAAAAACACTGCGACCTTTGAAAAGATAATGCAAACTTAATATTAAAACTAATGCACTTTTAACGTTAATCCTGCGAATTGGTACCTCGTTGTACCGATACCCGTTGTACAGATACATTGCACTGGCCGATATTCGTGTAAACACTTGCTAAATTTGGAAGAGTCAAACATTCTAATTTCTAATTGGTTGATCTTTCCATAATTATCCTGGTGTGAACATTGAACCGCAGAATGCTTAATGCAAAAACTCATGAAAGTGAGCCTTTAATGAAGGGACAAAGAAGAAAAAGATCTGTGCTCCGATACAAGTGGTTGGCCACTAATGATGTTGAATTTTTATAAAAAGAAAAAGAGAACGTAAACGCAATACCCTGAGATTGAAGAGGCGTTGACAACATAGTTTAGCATACTTGTTAAACTTCGGAGCGTGAGAAGTCATTTGTTGGCTCACTCTATTGCGAAAAAAAGCAAGCAGTTTTATTCGTAATTGTTGGTTTATCTGCGTAAACAGTAAAGCTTGATTTAACACTCCGATGAATCGATATTTTGCGTATCACTCAGATATAAAGAAAAGCCCGATCTACCGATACTCCAGCTTCACCAACTTTTTGGCGGAACAAAATATCAGTCTAACGAGGGTTGACTGTATTAAGCTCTAACTGTTGTATATACAAAATCTCAGTCGTAACTAAAATGGAGAATAGTCCATCCTTCAAAATTTGACATCATTACAAAAGCCGACGCATTTGTATGAAGGCTTCTAATTTAATATACAAGGTTCCCATTATTTAAAATTCACACCCAATAAGTTATTACCAATGATTCCACGAGAAACAAATACCAATAAACGACCATATTTATATTTCTCCAATTCGACAATGTCCAACATACCTGATAAGCTGTTTCTTGTACGATATAATGTAAATGCCGCCTGGCTTGCATGCAATCAGAATTTGACCATACCACAGACCAACAACTTGTGCAAATGTTTTACTTTAAAGTTAAGCGGAACGAAATTACTCAGTGGATACTAAAGTAATAATAACTGAAATTAGTACAACAATATTCAAAATAAAGGATGAATAGGAAAATGAGATAATTACAAGAAGAGCACTTGAAGTTGTCATTTCCTTTTACTACTAAGTATAACTTAATTATTGCTTAAACAACTATCAGTCGATAGTCCATTGTTGGATAAATAAGTAATCACATACGAGCGGCTCTCGATATAAGAAAGTGTCCGGGCCCAACAAATTCCTTTTTTTATATTGAAATTTCTTATAACAAGTTATCTGTTACGTACCATATAAGATTTTAAATTGTCCTGCAAAGGTCTTTCTTATAGACCATATTTCCTATATCGAAAGGTTCTTATATTGAGAGCTGCTTGTAATATGAGGGAAAATTTTCTCTAATGAGATTTAAATCCGGCTTTTTAGCTTGTCTGCAAAGATTTGTTTTGGATCTGAAAATGGTAATGATAACGAAATAGTGAATATTAGCACAGAGGGAAAAAATCAATGCTAACGATTACAAAAATTAATGCTTATTTATATAATTTCAAAATTATGCTGATGCCATATTCATCCTCTCGTCTTGTGTTTGAACAGATCAAACTGAAAAGTGAAAAAAAAGACACTTGAGAAAGAGAATAAGCTATCGATACTCGACTTTTATAAAGTCAATGCCGAAAAAACCGCCATGCTAGCTTGATTTTACTAGTTTGGGGTATTATAAGCAGATTGCAGTTCATAAACCTTTCGCTTTGAATGAGAAGCGTTTTTATAACAGTAATTTATAGGATCTTTATTGGCAACTACGTAAAAACGCTATAGACAGCTAGAACAGTAATTCATAGGATTGACTTCGTCAAAAATATGGATATCGTACCCACCATTCGTTGTTATCTGTGTGACATACATGAAACGGTGTACGGCATGCATGAAACGATCTACAAAAAAAAAATATTAAGCCGTATAATATTTCAGATATCGATACGATATTGAATGAAACATCAACCAATATGGATAAGACTTTTCTAGATAAAATAACTGAAGATAGAATGGTCAAGTGCTACTCAGAAAGTGAATTCTTAAACCGTAAGGTTGTCGGCCGTGGTGGGTTCGGAGTTGTGTACAAGGCAAAGTTGAAACATACTGGCGTAACTGTTGCAATGAAGATGTTATTGCTGGAAGCGTATAACGATGAGCAAGAATTGTACAAGAAATTTGTCAATGAGGTTTGTGTTTACTACTGTTGTTGCCTGTCATACCAATAACATGTGCCTGATAATAGATTTATCTCAGCTGAAAGCTCACAAGGAGGTGGATGACCATCCAAACGTTATCCGATTTTTGGGTTTATGCAAAGGTCAGTATATTATTACAAGGAATGTAATTTAAATTGTAAATTCGATGACTTATTCTGCTAAATACGGGTAGATTCAGATCAACAATATCACATGGTTTTTGAATTTGCTGATGGTGGAAGTCTGTCAGCATACTTAGTAAAGCATTTTAAGGATTTAACATGGAAAGAGAAATACAACTTGGGTCTGGACATTACAAATGGGTTGAAGTACTTGCATGTGCTTGATATTGTTCATAAGGATATGGTATGGTGTTATCTATTAATATTTAATTAAAATTATTATGTTGTAGTAATGCTTGATTTTATTTGTTGTATAGTCTTCAGCAAATATTCTTATTCAAGGAGGTGTTGCAAAAATTACTGATTTTGGTCTGTCCAGTATGCTAAAGCAAGTTACTTCTACATCAAAAGGTGAAGGTAGCACAGCATATATTGATCCAGCTACTTTTGAAAATAACTATAAACGAGGAAAAAAATCAGACATCTTTAGTCTTGGAGTAATATTATGGGAAATTTCTAGTGGTAAGCGGCCATGTGAAGGACGTGTTCAAAGTGTTGAAATTATTTTATATAGATTAAAAGGCTTGAGAGACCCTCCTTCTGCAGAAACACCAGAAAAGTACATTGAACTATATTCAAAATGCTGGGATGATGATCCAAACAAAAGACCATCATGTGAAGAAGTATATATACAATTAAAGTGTTTGTATAATAAACAATTTGGTATAATATTGAGCTTGCAAAGAGGTCAACTTGGAGATACAAAAGTAATTGCTTTAGCAAAAGCTTTAGAATCAACCTCCTTAAGCCAACTAGACAAAACATTAAAAGAGATTGGGTATGCCCATTTAGCAAATACTCTGGAGTTGAATTCTTTTGTGACTTCTTTGAATTTTCAATACAATAATATTGGAGACACAGGAGCAGGAGCTTTGGCAAAGGCTTTAGAATTAAATTCTTCTCTGACATCTTTGGAATTGGGATACAATCAGATAGGAGGCACAGGAGCAGCAGCTTTGGCAAAGGCCTTGGAATCAAATTCCTCTCTGACATCTTTGGAATTGGGATACAATCAGATTGGAGGCACAGGAGCAGCAGCTTTGGCAAAGGCCTTAGAATCAAATTATTCTCTGACTTCCTTGGATCTTAAGGTCAATCAGATTGGAGAAACAGGAGCAGCAGCTCTGGTAAAGGCTTTAGAATCAAATTC